AAGCTGAGAACACTGTTGGAGACTCATGGTTCAAGTAAAAAGAGACCTGTGTGGCCGGAGGTCATACAGAGAAAAACAGTTAAATGTTCATGGCGAAATGCAAATGGTTTAATAATCGAACTGAGGGGTGGGGTTGGGGAGGAGGAGATGTTCAGTAAGGGGATAATTATACCTTTTAAGAATAGTGATTGAGGTATGTGGAAGGGCCTATGTCAGATTTAATGGAGCTGGAGCTTGAATCTGCAGGCTTCCAGAGGATACAGCTACAGTTCCTTGTATAGTCTTATGTATAATAAAGTCTTACAATATTCAGTTCATAAAGTGCAAACCTGATGTTACTACAATAACCTTTGTCGCTTGATTTAATTGGTGAGTTTTTGGATTAGTGTCCACTTAGGAAAATTCCTCAATATGTGAGACCTGAATCACAACAAAGGAATGCAAGTTCTCCTGTCTGTTCTAGGTGGGGACCTCGCTTCCACAACTGGATAGCCGCATGAAAGTGTTTATCAATTGGAGGTTGGTGGTGAGGAAAGCTTTACAGTTTTACATTCCTTTTTTCTCCCCACTTAATGCATTGGGAACTGGGAAGGACAGAGTTTTAGACAGCAGAAAATGAGCCTGCGTGCTTCCCATGTTGGATCTGGCTGTCAGACTAGATATAAACTTTAACAAAGTGCTTATTTTACCTCTTTCTTGTGAATGTACTTCACAGGTTCAAGCGTCTACTTGTTGGCGGCACTCTCGCCTCTAAACCACAAAGTCGTAGGTTCAAGTCCCACTACAGTCTTAAATACATCATCGAGGTTGATATTTCAGTACAGTACAGAATCTGCAGCATTGTGGATGTAACATCTTTCCGATGAGACATTACAGCATTTCCTTCTGTCTGAGTGTAAAAGATTCTATAATGCCTTTAATTTGAGTTTAAGCAACAAATTCTCCAAATGTCCTGACCAACATATTCTTCCTTGATAAACACTGTAAATAGTAGACTCATTATTTTATTCGCTGTTTGTTGGATCTTGCTGTGTGCAGATTGGTTGTTGGAGTTGCTTCATAATGTCTGCAATTCAAAAGCGATGAATTGACTGTGAAGTGTTTGAGGTTATGAAAGGTACCTTCTAAATGTGAGATCTTTCTTAGCTCTTCTTTAAAAAGCCACTCATGTTCTAGGACCTATTTAGGAATGAAGACAAATGGAGATCCTTACCTATCAACAGAACATTGCTGATTCTTCTAGTCAAATGGATTGTTGGGAAGAGAACTGATGCAGAAAGATCTGCACTCGGAACCCACAACAAAATGGAATATGTTGGGATTTAGGAGTAAAATTCACTAGAAAGGTAAACCTTGCAAGGTGTCTAAGAGCTGCATGATCTGCTACCATCCATATTGCAGAATTTCACTCTGAATGCTCCTTGTGTGGAATTTATTTGTTCTCACTGACACTGGCCTCCATTCCAGTTGGCCTGTTGTTGTCTGGGCCATAAATGAAGTCTTCAGGTGGAGGAACTAAACCAATTCATTAAAGCTTAGGTTGTGTTTATTTGACACTGTCGAAGGTCCCTGGGTTAGGCTCAGTTTTGAACTTGTCTTCTGGGGTGATAACCTGACACAGCAACACATCTGTCCACTGTAGAACCTGACACATTTTTAACTCATTGAAACCAAGAGAACAAAAAATTGGTAGATTCTACAATAGGCTGGTGGACTACTTCTTCAGGTTATAAAATTAAAAATAACTATCTTGGCATCTGAAATGTAGAGGGCTGTTTCACATTAGTTTGTTTTTGTAACCTTGTTTAGTTCTCCCATTATGAAAACTACACCAAACATGAGATACTTCTGACTTGACTAATTTTTAGCAAAAAGTGCATTTGCAAATAGAATTGCAGGTAATATAATTAGAACGATCAATTGGTATGTCCACACTTAGCGTCACCCTAATGATTCCTACCCTTCCAAAAGTAGACTATTGGGAAAACCAGGGGAAAATGTCAACTTAAATTCTTAAAAGTCATTTGTGGAAGGTGATATGCCACAGTAAGGATTGAAGAGAAATGAGTATCTTCCTCCAGTTCACAGCTGTACTTTGTGAGGTGAACTGAAGGGAAAATTTCAAGTATCGCTTCACCCAGTGTCACAGATTAGAAGCGAATATATTTTATTTATTTCCTATCTAGTGGTGTTAGCAAAACCATTATTTCTTTTGAGCATCCATAATTGACCTCTTGAACTCGTACTTCTGTGATTATGTTCTCACGTTGCCCTTCGACAGAGAATCACAGGATCTCAACCCAGCCAAATTGTAGGATCAGCAATCCATATTGAAAAGACCAGGCTTATTAAGTTTCAGATCACTGGTGACCCCAGGTCATCATTAATGGTGGAGGACTCCACGATGGTGGTGCCATGAGGGGGAGGATCATCAGAACTTGAAATTAAAAAGCAGCTTTCACGTTTTCAGGGCATTGGCAAGTACTTCAATACAATTAAACTATTTGAAGTCTAATGATTGTTGTAAAAGCAAAAGGTCAGGCAATTTATAAACATCAAAGTCCATGAATAACAGTGAAACAAAACATTCAGAATCTATTTTTCATAGTTTTCAGTGGGGAGGGGGTGAAATGTTGACCACAAAACATGCACTAATCTAGAAAAGTGTCATTGTTTCATACGGTTGAGTGTCTTTGGAATTCCTTGCTACAGAGAGCTGTCAGGACAATGTATATTTAAGGCTGAGACAGATTCTTGATTGGTAGGGGCATCAAGGGTTACAGTGGAAGGACAGGAAAGTGGACGTGATGAGTTCAGATCAGTCATGATGCCATCAAGGGGCCAAAGGCCTATTTCTTCTGGTCTACGTGATCCCAATGTTCACTGTTGAGGCCCTCCATTATCTCACCCAATACATGGCAATTTTAATATCTTTACTGTCTTTTTACACTTCTGTCTCTGGAGTGGGGCTTCAACTTGTGATTGTTAATGAAACTGAAGATTTGTCAGCACCGTTAACCAGATAGTTGCACAGTATATCCTGCAATGAAGGAAGTTGTATTGTACTATGTAACTGGCCCCTCACATTAGCAATGATGGCACGGAATGTGAGTCATTGTCTAAATTAGGTATATCACTTTGTGTGGAAATGCTGTGCAAGCCAAGCTGGTAAATAATTTACTTTAATATATAAAAGTGGTAATTTGGTAGGACAGAAATTGAGCATTGCTGATGAAAGACACACTTTGAAGATTTTGTCATGCACTCATCAGGACAATTCGTATGAACACCAGTTCAGGTGGAAAACCACTATACATACTGCATGAGAAGAGAGGGCCAGCAAGTTGTCTCTGACTAGTTGAGGCATGACTGTGGAGAATGCAGCCATTAATGCCGATTGACAGTTAATTGCCAGACTTTGTCCCAAATTTAACCCAGGTAAATTTTGCTCTGATTTAGCCAGGGAATTGCCCAGAGAAATGAATTACAGTGCCGGTGTGCACAGGTATGTTGGCTGTATATCTCAAAGACTGACGGATTTTAACAAACAGTATATCCCTTCAACTATTCATAACAAGAAAATATACAGACCATGCCCAACTAAGCTTTGCTTTCAAAACTTGCAACATTGTGTCCGACTGTGTTAGCTGTGACTGTGCAATTGGACAACATTTGCTGAATAATTCTGAGTGTGCGAGGAATTACACCGATGACAATTTAGGATTGTCAGTTGAGCTTGTAGTGCAGTGCACCTATTTGGACTGGAAGCTACATATTAATATGACAGATCCTGTTCTTGGCATGTGTTTCAACCCAACAAATTAGGCAACAGCTATTTTTTGGTTCATTTTGCAGGGCATTGTCCTGTCCAAATAGAGTCAACCTGCCTGATTTTAAAATTTAAAGAATGCCGAATAGTTAATTGTCTATTGGCATGAATAGGCGCATTCTCCATGGCAACACCTATGTCAACCAATGAGCACTCTGTATTGTTGAGCAATACAAATGTTGTTTTTCTCTTGAATTGGCATTTCTTGCGAATTGCCCTGATGAGCGCAAGACGAAAAGCTTTGACAAAATGTACCTTTTCTCTTCCTGAGACAGCCACGTATGAGGAAGGTATAATTGAAAACGAGCAGTTGGACATGGTGTAATGATAGTTGAAAGTTCGGCACAATAGCCATACAGGTATGTTACTGGACCAGTATTCTAGAAGCTTGGACTAACCATCGAGAGAGGATGAATTCAAATCCTTAAATGTCAGTTTGAGAATTTGAGTTCCATTTAATTTAATAAAGTCTGGAAAAGTAAAGCTGGTATCAGGAAAAATGATCATAAGACTATTGGACTGTCATAAAAACTCAATGGGTTCAGGATATTTTTTAAGGATTGAAATTGTAAATGCTACATACAGCTAGATATAATGTTGTCACTAATTTACAGTAATTATTCTTCTTCTTTGCACAGCAAGTTTCCCACTCAAATTTCAGGCAGGTGGGTAACTGGCAGTAAACAGATTAGACTGGTGGAATATGGGTCATAACTTGACCTCAACTACTGAAAGAAAACTTCTTTCTTGCTGCATGTAATTGACCAATGGGAAGGGTCTGCATAGTACTACCACAATTTCCACTCAGCAGGGACTCTCAATGATACCGCATTGAACTGGCAATCTCAAATGGGAACTGATGGGATTGAGCGGAGCGAGAGCTGTTCTTTCAGAGGTGTTGAGAACGGGGACCCGTCAAGTTTTTGTTTGTTCACGATTGCTACTGTCAAACCTGGTGTTCTAATTGCAAAGCGTTTATTCCTCTCTCTGACGAAATCAGTTTCTAAATAATGCAGAGGGTAGACATTGCCAGTTGAATTGTTCCTAACCAGAACAATATACAGATTAAGAATGTATGTTCCTGCAGACAATACTGTAGCAACATGATATCATCAGTAAACATGATAATAGATGGAACAACTTCACTAAAAGTAAATCCATCATGTTTCAGGTGAGCTCCTGGGTGACATGGTTGATCCTGACTGCTGGCTCCATGGAGGAGAAGAGAGAAGTGTTCTCTTACTTGGTTCATGTGGCCAAGTGTTGCTGGAACATGGGTAATTACAATGCAGTGATGGAATTCCTGGCAGGCCTCAGGTATTGTTGATTCATTCCTCCACTGAAGTAGCTTCAAAGTTAAGATCAGAATGCATTTTTCCATATTATATACAGGCCACTTTGATCATGAGTTGGCTTTGGCACTTGCTCAAACGTTGCTTTTAGATAAGTTAGGTGAAATCAGCTCCAGTTGTTTGACAGGAGTTGAAAGAAGAATTTAGGAGAATTAATAGATTACTCCAAATGTTTGCATTAAAAGGAGCAGTTTTGTGTGACGGTGGATTTGGAGGCCAAGACTTCTATCATCAATCCAAATGTTATATATTGTGCAGGAAGGAATTTTCTCTATTTCCTCTGCACGGTGTTTGCATTCTGAATCCAGTAACTTTCCCCTTGCTTTAGTGTTCATATTGCCAATGTGATGGCTATTGTGTGGTTACACCCTCTTTAGAGGAACCATCATGATGGTACGGTAGGATGCCACAAGACTGAAAACTGAAGAGCTAATAGGGGCAGGACATTGTATTTGCACTTCAGGCAGAAAGGATACTGTTTATTATGTGCAGGGGGCTTTTTGATAGAGGTTTCAAAGGTTAAACAGCTTGAATGTGTAAAATGAAAAGTCTGTTGTCTGCTAATCAACTTACATTTGATGAGAGCAGAAGTCTGGACCAATTTTGAACCTTGGGCCTCCTGGTCCAGCCACATACTGGTCTCAAGGTTCCAAAGCTGGGCCTCAGAACTGGCTCGACATGAAACATTCTCGTCGTGACAGTCAAGTTGATCATCGGCACTAAAGGAAAGCAGATCATCAAAGAACGTGTAGAAGTGGGTAAGGTGCGGTACTGAGTGGCAATAGTGCCAAGTTTGCAATAACCAAAGGCCCATTTCACTCCACTGAGGCAATCAGCCATGATATCTGGGGTATCACAATTAGTTTAGTGACAGCAATTTAAGTATTTTTACACAAATATCTATTTTTATCCACCCAGGCCCCACATGTCCCTAGTCAAAGGTCTTGGCCATCTCAGCCCCAAGCTTGTACAATCTTGTATCTAATACCATTGATTTTTTTTGAGAAATGTTCTATTATGAAAAATATAATTAAATTTATCAGAGGACTTATGTAGTTTTCTCATTCTTTAAGTTGAAACAAACCGGACAATGTATATGCTTATTTATTGAATGTGAAATTTAACTCTCAGACATACTGCTACGATCTTGGTACAAGCCAGTAACTTTTAAAAGGAAATTCAAAGTCCCATTTGTTAACTGACAGAATTTTGCCGCAAGATTTCACATTTCAAATAGCCCTTTCTTTCTACAAGTGTTAAACAAAGCAAAATATCATTAACATAAACTTTGTAAACACACACTTTAAATTCAAAAATCTCAAGAGCACTTGCATTTTACTCTTATTTCCACCACAAGGTTGCCTCTATTTTATTGTATTTGAGGGTCCCTTCATTTCTACTTGGACCAAACCAAGGCATGTCACAGCTCTAAAGAATTGTCTTTGATTCTCCTCACTTTTCCTGCTGTTTTTCGAGCTATGGGATCTCTCTGAATCCTTATGCTAGCATCACGCTAGGTAAACAAATCCATCTCTCTCAAAGCACTTCACAAATAGTGCGCAGCTCAAGCACAAACCTCACTGTATTCTTGCTTAGTGACTCTAAATCAGAATCACCCCTAGAAAGAAAATCGCTTAGATAAAACTCAAAGCCAAAAGCGGCATCCTTGCAATTTAAGCTCATGGTAATGTGGTACTCCTGAAATGTTTCACAAAGTAGTTCAAATTAATTATTCTTCGTTCCAAATCCAGCCTTTCTTTTGAGAAACTATGAACAATTTAAACGTTTTATTTAGATAGCTACAGATCTCCCATCTCCAGCAAAAGGCACAGAGAGGTTAATTACCTTCCATTACGTCCCACTATGACCTTATTAAACAAACAAAGACCATCCTTTTATTTCCAATTCCTTCAGGTTTGTATGCCAGTTACTCTAACTAGGTGTTTTCATTTAAGCGACATTTAAAAATTTCATTCTTCAACCTAACTGTTATACTTCTAAGTCATGTGAATCATAAAATTAGCTATTCTTGGCAATAGTGTTAATTCTTGCTTTCTACTTCCAGCGTTAATTCCGAGCTGTAGCAAAAATGTTCCAAAGGAATGAATGTTTTGATCTCTATTGTTGCCTGCATTTAAGGGCATGAGATCATTGGATACAGTTTGGTAGTCTTTCTTTTCCAGGTCTAGAAAGGTTCTGAAGATGTGGCAATTTATGGACCAATCTGACATTGAAACTATGAGAAGCCTGAAAGATGCCATGGCACAGCATGAATTGTCGTCTGAATACCGAAAAGTAGTCAGCCGTGCTCTGAACATCCCAGGCTGCAAAGTGGTCCCCTTTTGTGGAGTGTTTCTGAAGGAGCTTTGTGACGTTCTGGATGGTGCAGCCACCTTGATGAAGTTTCACTCGCGTTGTGATTCTCAGGAAGATGCCATCGAGGTAAGAATTGTGTGCCCTGACGGTGAAACCACACATTGTGTGTTGGACAACTTCCTTGTCTAATTGCAAGATTTTCCCTGGCAGATAATTTAAATCTGTAAGAGTAAAGAATTGCTCACAAATCTTCTGTTGCTTATTTCATTTTCCTTCCAAAAGCAGTCAGCAGTGCCTATAAATTAAAATTGAAAATGGTGAGATTCAGTTTGGTAGTGAATAAAATGCGAAAAGGAATGGATGCTCTGTTCTAGTTTTCGACTGTGCCACTTTTGCGTGTGAAATTCCATTTAAAAAAAATTCATTTCTTGGTTTGTTTAATGGGTGAGGAGTTTTAATGCACCTTCACTTGCTGGAAAAAAATTGAACATCAGAGCCACAAAATGTATTAAGCATGCACTTTTGGGTGTGAGCAGATATTGAAGGCTAAATTTTCCTGATCTCAGCACTGCTACAGTGTGAGGACCACGCCTTTTTGAGGTTGGCATATGGCAAACATCAATGTTTTGCAAGACATGATCGATCAGTGGGTCACCTCTCTACAATAGCAGCCCAATGCTGTGCAGTGGGCACAAGCTGGAGGCAGGAGATGGAAGTCATGGGCTCCGTTTAAAGGGTGTGCATCTGGTTTCAAAGTTCAAGCAGCCGGGGAGAGTCATCCTTCATGGAACCATCGATCGAAGCAGTGCAGGCCCAAGGTTCACTGCTGCCCCTTGGAGGTGATGGCAGAGGTGGTCTCAGCCTCATAAATCACATTGTTTCCAGAGGTCAGCACACAAAGGAGGCTTGGCTGGAACTCACCAGAGACCCAAGAGCACGGCATGATAAGAAATATTGGACCCAGTGCAGGAAGTGCAGCAACAATCTTCTCCTTTCTGTAGAGGCGAGTATGAAGCTGTCAGCCATGAATATGTTAGTGAGACAGCACAGCTCTGAGCAGTACGTCCTAAAGTAGGCAGTGAATAGAAATTCTTACAACTGAGCAAGGAGGAGTGCACTGTCACCTTAGTCCCACTACCTCATGGGTTACAACATCAAATAAAAATAGTTTCCAGTTAGCAAAATACCTTATCTGTGCCATGTGTTTTAAAAAAAAATCTATCAATCAACTTTCTTAAGCACAAATGATTTATTATCAAAACAAAACTTTGTTCCGTGCATTTACAATAATTAGTGAACACACACAGTTAGAATCGTCACAGAGAATCCCTACCGTGTGGAAGCAAGCTATTTAGCCCATCAAGCCCACACTGACCCTCCAATGAGCATCTCATCCAGACCCATCCCCAATCCTATCCCTGCATTTCCCATGGCTAACCCACCTAGCCTGCACATATTTGGACACTGGGCAATTTAGCTTGGCCAGCCCACCTAACCCGCACATCTGTGGGAGGAAACCGGGGCAACCGGAGGAAACCCATGCAGACACTGGGAGAATGTGCAAACTCCACACAGACAGTCGCCCGAGGGTGGAATCAAACCTTGGTCCCTGGTACTGTGGGGCAGCAGTGCTAACTACTGAGCCACCGTGCCGCCAGTAATCTAGAAACACAAATGCTTTTTCCTCTAAACAATATCAAAAGAGAGAGAGAGACCCATTCTCTCTTTCTGTGTCTCAGACTTTAATTCTCTCATTCTCACACACTTACACTCTGTCACACTCTCCGACCATGTCGTACACTTACACATGCACACAGTCACAATCCTCTTGTGTCCCAGCTGAAGACCACACAACAACAGAAGCTAATCACTGTTCAACCGTGCCGGTAGAGATCTACAGCAAAGCAAGCCTTCATCCCCAGTCATGTGATTTTCAGGGCATCTTGTTAAAACCTTTCCAATGTCCATCATGACCTTTCAATGATCTCTTTTAAAGAAATGCCCCATCCAGGTATTTGCACAAAACTCGAAATAAATCCATTTCTCCACACGTTTCTCCAAAAATTATATTCTGTAAGAAATGTTACGTATGAAGTGTTTTCATAACAACACGCTAAGGAGATTATTGTCCGTTACCTGAGCGAAGGGAATGAAACTATGTCAGCTTGTGACACGAGCATCAGTTGTGGTAATGTATCAAGATGGGAAAATGGGACGGCTACGTGGAGCTGACCTATCCATTTTCATATTGCAGGAGAAACATGCATCCAGTGTCTAAGGGAGTAATTTCTGAGGGGTTGAAGGACTTGCCCTGGCCACCTTGATGCTCCTGGTGAGAACAGGAGGCCCTTTACATTGGGAAGATGGTAGCAGTGGTTGGTGATAGTGAGATTGGTGTGTGATCGAGAGAGCGCGAATGTCTATTGGATTCTTCATGAAAGTGTTTTCAGCAGGGGTTCACCTTTCTGAAGTTGTTTCCAATGGATGCCACAACTGCTGAGATGGAGGAGGTCATGTAACTGATGTTTTCTGTCTTCCTTGTTGATGATACCAAAGGATTAGTAGCAGCTAATTCTTGAGGCCATTGCTGCCTCTGAGGTTGACTTGTAGCTGAGGAACCATTGTCCTGGGATTGAATCGCATTCTTCACTGGTGCAGGTACGTGGTTCCTCATTTGATCTTAGAAGGAGTGGCACAATATGAGCAAGCAGGGCAATATGTGAGCGGGAGAAGGTCGCGAAACCAGTGTGCAGTCTCCATTGGACAGTTCCAGTTATGTTTACCCAGTTGGAGGACCCAGAGCCCTGGGGACCACGTGTACAGCAGGTGCCAGTGGAACAACAACAAGACATGTGGCCATCAGCAGAGATTGCCAAGACAATGCATTCCCTTACGATGAAAATGGAGGAGCCCATTCATGACATGAGCGTTGCAATGTGTCAAACTCATGTGCTGTCTCTCTCACTAAATAAGAACATGCGGATTGGACTGAGGCAGAAGGGGGTGGTGTAGAAGGTGCATTGCCCAATGGAGCCCGATCTTCTGGAACCGCTCCTTTTGGCCCTCTGTAATGGAACCTCCAACAGCAGGTGGCGATGGTGAGAGATGGCCCTGAGGAGGGAAGCTTCAGCAGGTGTGCAGAGTTTTCAACAGCAGGTGGCGCCAGTCAGGGAGCGCAGCTGGAGGAGTCAAATGGACTGTCTCTGGAATAAAAAATCTTTAGGGAAAGCAGTCCTTATGGGAATAAGGAGCAAACAGGCAAAAGATTCTGATATAAACCACAAGCTTCATTTGATGTTACTACAGTAAATAATTATTTGTTTAACTTTAATTTTCCTTCATGTTTATAATGACCTGGTGTCAGTTGGGAACAGAATCCCCACTTCATGATCCTTGTGTGGTCAAATCCCATGTTGCTTAAGTAAGACAGATGATAATTCTCAGGGCTTTCTGACTGAGGCTGTTCTGGCACAAATGCACTGGTTCAGCTGGCTATGGTGCTGTTATGTGCCCGAAGATCCAAGGGAAAAGTGCCATGGTTGTCTTGCCTGCGAGGATGGCCTCTTGAACAGATAGCCTCCACATCCTAGCCACAGGGGAACCTCATGTAAGAGCTCTTAAATTACAAAGACATTCACCTGGCTGCATGTTGAGAAGTTATCCTTAAATTGATACGTTTGAATTTGAGTAAGATGGCGGTGTTTGAAAAATTGCATTTGTCATGTCACTTAGTGTGAGAGATGGGATTTAGTCACTGGCTGTGTATGGGGTCTGAAAGTGTGCCAAGACTCCTCAGTGATTTATGCGTGCTAAACCCTGTGCAAACTGGGCCTGTCCTTAAATTCTGGAGAGGGGCTGCTATGTATAAACCAGCAATCTGATTTAGAGTCTGTTATTGAAGGCTCAGGAGAGGTGTTCCTGGATCGGAATATCTTGGACCACAGCTTCTCTCCATCGTTCTAACCCAGCTCAGTGTCAACGCCCCATTATCAGAGTTTCTTAGCCACTTAAGACCTCAGCTGCCAAACTGCTTGTGTACCTTTCTGAGGTCTTCAATAAGACTTTCTTCCTCTGTCTCCAGTCACAATCATGCATCAAGAACAGCACAATGATTCCTGCGTTTAGGGGTATCTTTCAGCGCCTGTCCCTCTCGGTAGCAGCAGCAGCAGCTTCATCTGCATGGACTAGGAGCTGGTGCAGGGTGGGTCTTGTCCACTTCTGGTAAACTCTCAATTTACAGCTGTCTCCAATGCCTGTCTGCTGCTACTGGGCATGTAGCCACCCTCACTACAAACCACTTCTAGAAAATGTGCAAGAGGGCAACTGTGGATCAGGTAGCTGGCATGTTTACACTTCAGCACAGATTGGCAATCATCATTTAACTCACCTTCTCAAAATCTAACCCAGGTTTTCAGGAGAACTATAGGGAAAATATTATTGCAATGGTGGACTAAATTCTGTTTCCCATGTCTTTTTACTATTTAACATGTGGGGTTTAGAAACACCTCAGACCAGTTCAACCTGTATACGATTTGTAACCTGTAACTTTCTTAAGGTTTGTGTAGATTCCCACTGTACACAATAGTGAAATTTATTACATGGGGGAAGTGTGAAGTATGGAAAGTAAAGTGGCTAACCATTTTCATCCCTAACTATGTGAAACTGTTTCATAAGTCTCCAATTTAATCTGTGCTATGGGGAGATTGCTAACACTGAGAGAATGTTCCCAGTTTGTTGCAGATTACAATGGCCAGGACCACTTCTTTCAACGGATTGGGAAAGATGGCCTAAACAATACTGAGAAAGAATCCACAGTAAACAACATCCTGCAGACCATTCGAAGCTGTAACAGAAGCCTTGAGTGTGAGGAAGGCGAAGAAGGTGCCGGTGAAAGTTGCACTTCACGGAAGAACTCGTTCAAAGACAGAAGTAAATATCAGTAAGTAATAGAACAGCTTCCTAATGACATTCATTACAATAAAATACTCATATGGAGACAGCTCAATAAGGGAACCGGAACAAGCAAGTCTGTCTATTAACAACAGACAGACATTCAACAGCTCATCACGTCACTTCTAACAGTGGTGTCTCATCTGCTAAGTAGATTTCCATTGGCTGTCAGACCTCACAAAAGGAACTGAAGGATTTTCCCAACCCCAGCCACTTTGCCAACGCTCCTGGTATTACTCCCACTCCGTTGAACATTCCTGCTGCTTCAGGGAGCTGTACACATCCAGGTAGAACTTTTGGGAGTTAGGCCTGGGGAACTGATCTTTGGGTTTGGGCTTAGGGACGTGTTATTGTTAGGGTTAATGTTATGTGTAAAGTTTCAGAAAATTGTTTTCAGGGACTGTATTATTTCACTGGACGAGGCATTTACTCTGAGGGTGGGTTCGAATTCAGTGTCTTTTTGCTATTAAGGGAGTTGGATCCACCTTTATTTTGTGCCATCCTGATTATTTGAACAGCCAGAAGTAGTTTAAACTTTTTAGTCTTGCTACTTTTCAGCACCTTTCACAAGACTGTAGTAAACTAGGAAACATTTCTGCTGAGTGACCTACAAGGGGGCCAGGCTACAGACCATGAGTAGCCTTTGTTTCTGCATACTTGATTGATAAGTCTCTGGAGGTTTTTCATATGGGCTGTGATGGGGTCTGCAGAGTTTGCTTGATTCAGTTGGAAAAGATGCCTATTTCTCTGCTATTGCAGAGTGGTGGAAAGTAAGCAATTCATGGACATCTCTAAGCTCTTGATTAGTCTGTTCAATGCATAAACCAACATATTGTATCACAGGTAACAAGGTGTAGAGCTGGATGAACACAGCAGGCCAAGCAGCATCAGAGGAGCAGGAAAGCTGACGTTTCGGGTCTAGACCCTTCTTCAGAAAATTTTCAGAAACGTCAGCTTTCCTGCTCGGTCTGCTGTGTTCATCCAGCTCTACACTTTGTTATCTCAGATTCTCTAGCATCGGCAGTTCCTACTATCTCTATATTGTATCACAGTTTGTTGCAAGGATAAATTGGCAAAGGTATTTAAATCATTCACTCTTTGGGGCTTTTATCAGTTCGAATGAATGGTGTCTCTGTCAGTCCAGTATGTTCTCAGCACCACTGAAGTGACAGAGTCTTGTGTCCAACATCAAAGCTAACGTTGGACTTGAACCAACAACCTTTAGAGGTAGGAGCATTTTAATGTGGCGTTGAGACAACTACCTGTACAAACACCTGAACTTGAGCTAACAACATTCTGGTCCAAATCATTAATGTATAACGCAATATTTTAACATATGCATTTATGCACCACTGGCCAATTGCCATTAGTGATAAGCTGGCGACAACCTATTTAAAATAATGTTATTACTCAAAGTTTACAAAAATATGGTTACCATTGGTGTTAGTGAGAGAGTCACCAGGGACATTAGAAGAAGCAGGTTACTGTAAATATTAAACAGTGCAAATTTAGGCTTTTCTGCATCCTTCCTTTCTTTTAAAACTTAAGTTTTCTTCAACAGTCTTTGGGAAAAAGAGGAGTTGATGGGTGAATAAAATTTAGCTTTTGAACTGTTGAAGCCGAAACGCTTCAAGCTTATTCATAAAGGTCATCCATTCCAGCATAATCTTGCGTGCTTGATGGTTGAGTCAAATTTGTACATAACAGGGACATTTTTAACTTATTAAATTGCAAGCCAATATCATTGCTTTGTGAGATGTTTGTTTCGGGTTTCTGGTGAGAAATAACAGCATGTCCCCCTGTAACTGCAGAGCAAGTGCTATAGCTCAGCAGGAAGATATCTTGCCTCTGAATCAGTAAGTTGTTTAAACTGCACTCCTAAGGCCTGCATAGATAACTTACATTGACCCTCCAGTGAGAGTTAATACTCTGGCAGAAGCGATGTCATAATGGTAACTAACATCACTGGACTAATAATCCTGAGGCCCAGGCTGATACATAGAGACACGGGGTTTGACTACCCCTCCACTGACATCTAGTGAAATTTAAAAGCAAACATTGATTGTTGTAAAAACCCAGCTGGTTTTCTAATGTCCTTTCAGGAAGAATATTTGCCATCATCGCTTGGTCTGACCTACAGGTGACTCCAGACTCACAGCAACGTGATTGATATTTAATAAAAAGTGCTGTGACAAAGTCATTTCGTACAAGGGTCCATGCCAGGAATAAATGAAGAAAAAAGAACCTTGAGCACTAGAGCAGTGCAGTGGGTGGAATTTTAGACTGAAGCTCTGAGCACCTTTTCGGGGGAACATAAAAGATTCCGTGTCACTATTTTGAAGAAGAATGGACAGGTTCTCCTCAGTACCCTGGTCAATGTTTATCCCTCACCCACCATTAAAAGCAGATGATCTGATCATTACCTTGTTGTGGTGGGAAGTTGCCATGTGCTAGCTGGCAGCTATTTCTGACACGATTACAGTAACTGTGCTTCAAAAGTACTTTGGCGATAGCTCATTTTGAGATGTCCTGAGGTCATGAAAGGTTCTATATAAATTTTCAATCTGTACTTCTTTACGGAGGAAGGGAGAAGTTTTTAAAAATATCAGACTCAGACGATGCAATAAAGCAGGCGTTTATTTGGTCCAACAATAAGATCACAAATAAATGCTTTGAAAATGAAGGCATTGGCCTGCAAGGCTATTAGTATTAAACTATTCTAAACAAGCATTATTTAATGTCTCGCAACACATCTAGCCAAATGATTGTGAATCATGTACAGCTGGACACAAATTGAATCCAGGCATCCAATAATGAGGCCAGAGTGAAACATACCATACGTTTCAGAGGTTTTCTTTTAATTCTGAAAGTTTTTCGTTTACTTGGTGTTTGAGAGCTCATCGTCCAGTACTTATTTGCCTCCATTGACTGTCTATCTGACTGTTCTTTCATTTGAGATCCTAGTGGTCTTCTCTTTCCGTACCTTACCTTCTTCCATACTTTCATTCCTGAAGCACACCAACTCGAGTGAAGAAAACTTCAGAATCGAATCGAGTGTTGTAAGTTGAACTTCTGCCTTGCTGCGCTGTCCACAAACAAACAATTAAAACTAACACATTTGTGTGAAGTGGTGTTGTTCAGACTTCTTTGATCTCTTGCCACGGTTTTCAATTTTGTGATGCTTCCATATCTGAGGGCTGGTAGGACTCGGATGCTGTAACCTTGATTTTTAACTGCCTGTATCTGATGAAAATGAGGAAGGAGAGGTAGTAAAATAGTGGTGGAATATTTAACTCCTCATTTACATCACACTCCTGCCCCACCACCGTTTCAATTCCCAGCTTTCAGGTGGGACCATTGCTGAGTTTCCATAGAAACTGTCCCTGACACCGGTAATTAGTGTTGGGACTTCCTGGAGAGAAAAGAAGAAAATCCAGAACAGGGAAGGCCCACTACTTTGTTCTCCCCCTCCGCAGTCTGTCTACAAGTCAGTGCAGGGAATCATCCACTGGGACCTGATTGGGAGCCTCCTTCCCGAAACCCAACTCTCGCTGCCTTTCAAGTGAGGAACTGATAGGGAAAATGGTGTTTTCTGCATGATCAGATCAGCTATGATCTTACTGCACACTGAAGCAGGCTCAAGGGGTTAAATAGCCTATTGCTGCGCCTGTTTCTTATGTTCTGTCACTAGCTTCAGTATCAGATTGGTAGAAACTATAAGAGATGGTGAAAAGGGGTGTTTGCTGTTTTGTTTTGCATAGATTCAAGAGTCTACACAGGCAGTCTACGTCCAAGATAGTTACATGATGTCTTGACATGTGACATTCTGGTATATAAAGGTACCCACCTCCCCTTCAATTGGGTTCTCAGTGCAATTGAAGCAGTGTAGTGTGTTCAGTCAGTCCGTTATGCTTGTGTAATGTAATAGTAACATCAGTAGGCACAGAACCCAGACATATCACAGTAAAGTCTGTGATACTATAGCAATGTAGATGGTTAGTGCTGTAAATAAACTTCAAGACATTTGCCTCAACAAGAATCCAGTCTTTGTGGTAAAATGTTATGTGAGTGAATATATAGTGCAGCTATCAGATCATATCATTGACTGGCAGTGGTGTTTGACCCTAGAAATCACGTAACTTACAAAAATTCTTCAGACTCTTTGTCAGTCTTCCATGAACCGGAGAATTCCCTTAGAAATTTTTGCTGTACTTATTTGGTGATGTTAATTGTATTACAACTGACTAAAGAGTAGTGTTCAAAAGTACATGACACCTGGACACCTAAAGGGAAGGCCACAATCACCAGAGGCTAGTATATCTCATTCTTCTGAATAATTTCCCTACTGAACCCGTTACCAATATTTCTAAAGCTGGGAGAGCAGGAACGTGGTGTTGGAAACCTCCACTTCCGGCCCATCTGCCTACCCAATTGTCCTTGCTTGAGGGGGGTGGGAGGCCAACGCGGAACATTTCATGTTAGGTTCAGCATAGCATGTCCAAAACAAGTCCTAATCCTGCAAGTGCATTTGCTGAGCTATGGTGGGCATATACAGAAAAGATCACTAATCTGTGGACTGCGTGAGTAAAACCTGGTCCAAACTTGAATTAAATATTATTTTGTCATTGTGTTTCAATTAACACCTGCCAGTTTGAGTGTGTTGTCACCTGGATACAGTAACCTTAACCAACTGATTCTGCACAGTCCTGAAGGTAACATTTAATACAAAGCTTGCTTGTTCCTAGATGTCATTTCCAGAGAGGGAGATCGGAGAATCACACAAGTGTTCCAGCACAGAATGAGGCCATTCGGCCCTTCAAGTCTGCACTGGCTTTTTAAAAACGCATCATTACCTCATGCCAGTCTGTTTTTCTCCCCATATCACTGCGCACCATTTCTGTCCAAATAATCATCCAATGCCCTCTTGAACTTTTCAATTAAATCTGCCTCCATCACATTTCTAAGTAGTGCACTCTGTACCCTAAATACACGCACTATTTAAAAAGAATTCTCACCTCGCATTTGTTTTCAAATCTGTGCTGTCTTGTTCTTGATCCTTTTACAAGTGGGAACAGTTTCCTCCTATCTTCTCTAGCCAGTCCCCCCACGATTTTGGAAACCTCTATCAGATTTCCCCTTGGCTGCCTTCTGTCCCACGAGAACAGTCCCAACGTTGTCAATCTCTCCTCATAGCTGAAATTTCTCATCCCTGGAACCATCCTCCTTAATGTCTTTTGCACACTCTCCAATGCTTTCACACCTTTGCGATAATGTGGCAGAACTGTACACAGTATTGTAGCTCAGGGCTAATAAGTGTCTTTTACAGTTGTCTAATCTCTTGTGATGGTGTTCAGTGTGGCATCCTGTCAAACTTACTACTTAAGAGAAAATGGTTTCTTGAATAACAAATCAAATTAGGCTGATCTCAAGTAAATATTTAATGTTGCTTCTTTATACCATTGCACTTTTACACTGCATCTCTATGTAAACTAATTATGAAATTCAAAGTGTTGTTTATTAAAAAACCACTTTGTGTGCTGCAGAAAAATGAATTTGGAATAACTCCTAGTGCTACGTGTTTGGATCCTGTAAACAGGACATGGAGTAGTGCTTGTGTCTAAAATCTACAGTTCATTGACTCCATTCCCAGTCGCAGGAACTAGTGAGATGGAAATAAGAGGGAAAATGTCACTGTACAACTCTCGTGTCTCTTCTTAATTGTGCAGGTTCATTGTTGGAGATCTGTCAGACTCAGAAAGTGATTCCTTTGAACAGTCCAGTGAGTTGGATCTGAGTGGGACAGAGGATCAGCAAAAGGCGTTCTGTCATGAGATGGAACTCATTCCTTGGTATGTGCTGTCCATCAGAGCTGACATCCATCAGTTTCTACTACAAGGGGCTACAGTCATACATTATGACCAGGAGGCTCATCTCTCGGCGCGCTGTTTTTTCAAACTGCAACCTGACAACTGTACTCTAACCTGGTCAAAACCACCTACTGCCAGCCCAGCCAATGCTAAGGTCAAAAGCCTGGTGTTGGGTAACAGTGTGGACCTTGGTAACAGTAAATTTCAGCCATATGGGCACATAGCTCTAAATGGACTCGTGGAAGGTTTCTTGGACATGTCTGCAGTGAAGGCTGTCTATATGGGACATACAGGAATTGATCTGAATGCTGTATGCATTCAGAATAAACTTTGCCATATGACTCTAGAGGACAATTGTGTGACGCTGCTCTATGGGGTCCATACAACTGATAACCGATTGTTACACTTTGTGGCCCCCAAGTACACTGCTAAGATGGTGCATGATGGATTGCAGGAGTTAATGACAGCTGTCCGAAAGATGAAGAAGTTTCCTGATCAGAGACTGCAGTGGTTAAGGAAGCAGTACGTCAGCTTATATCAGGTAAGTGCACAAGAGTCATGTGTCAAATCTTTAGATCAATGTCAAACAGAATTAGAAATTCCTATTGATGGTAGAAATGAGCAAACATTTAGCATGTTCACAAAATGTTGGTGTTAGCCTGTTTACCTTAAATAGATTAAAAAAATGTTCATACAAAGATCATTTGCTCCTTAATATTGGCAATGTCATCTTGCATTCATACATGCAAATTCTGGACTTTAAGATTGAGAGGTCAAAGTATCTGTTTTTATGAACAAGTTTTCACATTTATTTATTTTTGATGCATCAAGTGTATAAAATGAAGTAAACTTCTCATCACCAAAAATGTTGAGCTTAGCTGCAGTCATGCTCAATCTTTCAATAGAACAGTTTAATGTTTCATGGTGAATGAATTTAGAAAATAAAGAAATCTTCTGAAGAGGGTGACATCTGAGTCTTCATAATTTCCTTTATGTTCCTTTACTGTGAATTTTCAGAAGTTCGTTGCTATGTTGTGGAGGTTCAAAGTACTGATAGGAAAAGAGGGATTTGACTATTATATATAACTGGTAAAGCATTGATAATTTTAACACCGAGTACTGGGTTTTCGACCCGTTGGGACTAACTGAAAAGGAACAAAAACAAAAATTGCTGGAAAAGCTCAGCAGGCCTGGCAGCATCTGTGGAGAGAAATCAGAGTTAATGTTTCTGATCGAGTGACCCTTCCTCAGAACTGAAAAGGAGCTCCTTTACGAGTGGTTGAAGTAGTTAATGGATAAAAGGATAACGGAAACTGGATAGTCATTTGTTAAGAGAAGAGAATAAAAGGGTAAGACAGCTAGGTTACAATTAAAGAGAGGTGTTAAATAGGGCTGCTGAGAGACCTGTGTTTGTTCTTCCAGTTATGTACTCAAAGGGTGGTGGATCTCCCTTCCACAAATAGCAGTGGATGCTGGATCAGTTGTTAATTTTAAATCTGAGATGGATAATTTTTTTGTTTCACAAAGGTATTAAAGGATATGGGCTGAATTAGGCCGCAGATCAGCCATGATCTCATTGCATGGTGAAACAGGCTTGAGGGGCTGTTCCTATGTTCCTATATGTAAATACCCCTGACTGATAAAAATGTTAATTATTAATTAAGTTGTTAAATTTCAATAAATTCCAACACCAAGTTGTTAATTCCAATGGCCCAGTAAGGAAAGATCAATGAACTTGGAGGAGCTTGCAAAAGTATTATAGAGAGACAAAAACAAACTTTTCTTCTGGATTGATGAGAAGCAAGTTAAATCTGTCCTGGTCAAAGACAAATTACTGCACAATGGAATCAAAATAGGAGCCACAAATGCTCAATGGGTGACTCAAGTTGTCAAAGAGACTACTCATGAATTTAGCCCAAGTCTACCTCAACTGTTGTTCTGGCCAGGCCATGTTTGGAGTAATGGTCAGGGTACTATAGCATTATAAAATTAATGCCCTAGATATGATGTAGAGAAGGCAAATGATTTTTGAGGAGGGAACAACGAAAAGTCGCTTATCATAGAAAAAAACTCTTCAAAATGAAGCAGCATGCAGTGAACTTGAGAGTTATTTAAGATGCTGTGGGATAAATAAAGTTTTTGAGTTAAGCTATTATAGTAAGGGTTTAAGTGGTTCTGTACTTTTATTTTGTCTGCTGTTGTTCCTCCCATGGTTTATTTATTTATTTTTCATGGGGTGTGGGCACCGTTGGCATTTGTTGCCCATCCCTAGTTGCCCTCAAACTGGGAGTGGCCTCCTGACATATTAAACAGGACATTTAAGAGTCACTCAAGTTGCTTGGGTCTGGAGTTGCATGTAGACCGGACCAGGTAAGGATGGCCGATTTCTTTCCTGACAGGTCATTAGTGAAATCAGGGTTTTTAATGATGGGCAATTACTAGGTTAATGTTCGTCATTAGTGAGACTAGCTACAGATTCCAGGTTTATTCATTGAGTTTAATTCCTCTAGCTACTGTGGTGGGCTTTGAACCTGTATCTCCTGAAGATTTGCCTGGGACATTACCACTACATTATAATGATGTACTTGTGGTTTAGAGTTTGCGATAGAGAAGTTTTCCTGTTTAAACAAAACTGTATATATGTACCAGTGCGAGAGTTGTTGATGTTGGGGCATGGAAGTTTCTCCAGTTTCTAAATTCAACTCCCTGCATCAAGTACTCCCTGATGTAAAAGAAAGTCTGCTCTACTTGGGGTCAGCATGGAGGTCCAATCCAATATTACAAGAGCAATCTTTACAGCAACAATGTGATACTTAGTCCATTTACTACACTAGCCATCTTCTGGCCTTTTAAGAGTCACAATTCATGGTAGTCTTATGATGTAGTTGGTCCAAAATTCAAAACTTGATTGAAGCTACACTGACCAGCTGATCAAATTTCTTGAGAAAGATAGTCAATAAAATGTCAAACCTCACATGGGAAAATATGGATTGAGCATTCAGATGAGGGTTTCTTTCTCACAGTTCAGGTTGGAGTTGAACCAAGACCCCACAATGTCCAGAATGTTACACATTATACCTAATAGAGATTTCTGTGGCAGTTCTTCCACTGTTTCCACACGTCAAGTTGTCATTTAATGTATTTATAACAGGGGTTCAATATTACAATTGCATTACCTCATCTTAGAATGGGTCCAACATAAAAGTGCTGTAATATTCAAAGATTTGAGTATATATCTTAAGTAATCAAAACTCAGCTGTACATATGGTTGAGATTTAACTGTGTGTGGGATATTTGATGTAGTCACCGTTTTTATTTAAAGTTCCTTTCCAAAAATTAGACTAGAATTAATATATTTTAAGAGGGGTATATTTTCTCCCAGATAAAGGCAATATACTGTTGGATATAAGAACAAAGCAGCAAGTGCTGGAGAAACTCCACAGGTCTGGCAGCATCTGTGAAGAGATAAATGGAGTTCACGTTTCAAGTCCAGTTAGAATCCTCTTCAGAACATAATTTTGCCAGACTTAATCATGAAAGGATAGCAGGATTATGATAGCTGTGGTAATCTAAAATGTTTAGTCTTCTAATCTAACCTAACCACGGGATCACTTTAATGACAATTTTTCTTCAAGTACAGACATTCCAGATTCCACTCCATGTCACATTGAGATGACATATTATGCAGTTCACTTAAAGATCTGTAAGATGGGAAGACAGAGGAAATTATTTACAGAAAAAAAATGCACATAAAACCATTAGAAGATTTTGGAGTGAAGCTGTTGGAAAATTGTCAATATATTTATTCACGCAACTTGCAATTTCAGATTAAATCAGTACAAAGTCATACTGTTTCAGTGGTTCATGTCATTGGATGAAGACCTAATCAAGGAAGGTAGTGCCTGAAAAGATTAGCTGACACCATGAGAGAAACTCCACCAACTGGATATAAAGGACTGTTCTTGGGAGGAACTAGGCAATGTTTTAGTGGTTATCTGAAGTGCTAAGTCCATGTAATCAAAGGTAATGAATACTTATTCTTGACTGCCCTGATGTTTCACAAGAAACTATCATGTAATTCAGAAGTCATGTGACTAGCTATTACATTGTATAGAATAAACCTGTTAGACTTCTTTCCCAGGTTGGTGTTGGCAAGTTAACTAATACCAATAAAAATAATTAGTGACAGTGAATGTACTTAATACACTGCGGATGGATCAAATGGACATGACCAAACCATATTTGGTCTTTACCTGCAGAATTACTAAGTGTGTCAACGGTGTGAACATTGAAGTTGAAGGGAAACCTAGATGAGTACATGAGGGAGAAAGACTAGAGGGATGTGGTGCTTAGGTGAGGTGAAGTGGGATGAGTCTTATGAGCGGCATACACCCCTGCATAAACCTTTTGGACCCAATACCTAGTCCCCACGCTGTAAAGTTCAATGTAATTGTTCCACATACAGGAAGAAGGCAAGTTTGAAGGACCAACCCTGGCTCAGGTTATTGAGCTCTTTGGAGGTAGGCGATGGATCACGAGAAACACAGCTACGGCAACTTTGAACAGAAACACTGAAAAATCCAACTTGCAGCGTAACAACACGTTGGGAATGAGCACGGCCAAAAAGATAAAGAAATCGTTGATCAGGGTAAGAGACAGCGCTGCTTGAAGTCCTCATCAGTGTGTTTCTGCTGGAGGATCAATTGACTTCAATAGTAAAGCTTATGTTTTTGTTCTGCTTAGGGAGAAAGCGGGGACATCACTGATGAGGAGACCTGTGCACGTAAGAGCCGAAGCTGCAAAGAATCCCGAGCCAGGAGCGGTTCTGACCCTGCAGACTTTGATGAACAAGAAGAATCAGGTAACTAATTTCTATTGTTACTATCTGTTGTGTATTGCACTGAGGAGAGCTTACTATGTGGATTGAAAGCAGAAAGCAGAACTATCTTTATTTGCACCTCCCCTTCTTTTCACTTCAAAAGAAACAACCTCTACATTAAACTGTAAAACAGTAGGGTATGTAATGTCCCAGAATACAACATGACTAAACTAATTTCAACAATGCCTGAAATTTAATAGATTGAGTTGTGCATTTGCTTTTACTGGAATCCCAACTGAAACATATATGACTGATACAACCAGTATAATTTAAATGTAAAACTGATGTTTTTCCTTAACACCAGAATGCATTTAATAACATGATCATTGGACAATAAGTTCTAAAGAAGAACAACTGATTTCTGCTTTCTTCAGCATGCTTACAATTCTCTATCTGGCTTCTTTCTTTGACAGTCTGGGTCTTTCCTTCCGGTTCCATTAGCTTGACTCTGCTCACTTAACATCTCTGGCTGTATCAAACCTGAACTTGGACTTTGACAACCATCTCCACTTAATGGTTGAGATTGTGACATTGATTGATTTGTCTTGACCAAAATTTTACTTCTTTTATTAATTACTTTAGATCTGTGCCCTCTTATTCTCAATACAAGGTGCCAGATGAAAGGTCATTGCAGAAAGTTAAACCTCATGATGTAGGATGTAATGTATTGGCATGGTTAGAATATTGGCTGGCTGGTAGACAGGAACATAGACGTCGGAGATGGATCATTTTCTGGTTTGCAAGATGAAATGACTGATGTACCACAAGCAATTAGTACTGGGTCCTCTGCTCTTTACAATTTATACAGATGAATTGGATGATTGAATTGATTACAAAATTTTTTGATGACACAAAGTTAGGTTGGAAAGTTGTGAAGAGCATATAAGGAGGCTAGAAAGGGATGTGAATATGTTGAGTGAGGAAAGATCTGACAAATGGAGTATAACGTGGGAAAGTGAGAAATTGGCCATTTTGACAGAGAATAAAAAGTGTATTATCTAAATACTGAGAGGATGCAAAGGGATCTTGGAGCAGGAGTCACAATGGCTTTGTATGCAGGCAAAGTAATTAGGAAAGCTAATAGAATGTTGTTGTTTACTGTGAGGGGAACTGGAGACAAAAGTAGTGATAGTATGCTTCAGTTATGTAGGTGAGACCACATCTAGGGTACTGTGTACAGTACTGTTCCCCTCATTTTAGGAAGCATGTAGATGCATTGGAAACAGTTCAGAGAAAATTTACTAAATTAATATGTGAAATGGACAGGTTGTTTATGAAGAAAGAGTGGACAAGCTAGGTTGGAGTTTAAAAGATTAAGAGGCAACTTGCTTGAAACGTAAGATTCTGAGAGGTCTTGATAGGGTATATGTAGAAAAGATGTTTCATCTTGTTGGAGAATCTAGATCTAGGAGTCACTATTTAAAAATAGGCTGTCATCTATTTCAGGCAGAAATAAGGAGCTGAAGATAGATGAGGGAGATGAGCAACCAGAATTTTACGCAGTGTTCTAAAAGTAGACTAACCAATGTCCTGTACATTCGCAACATGACCACCCAACTCCTATATTCAATGTTCTGGCCAATGAAGGCAAGTGTGCTAGATGCCTTCTTCACCAACCTGTCTACTTGCAACTCCACTTTCGAGAAACTATGCACCAGCACCCCTAAGGCTCTTTATTTGGCAACAGTCCCCAGGACCCTACCGCTAACTGTGTAAGTCCTGCCCTGGTTTGCCTTATCAAAATGCAACACCTCACATTTATCTAAATTAAACTCCATCTGCCACTCCTCAGCCCATTGGTCCTGTTTGACCTCTTCTGTGGCATGCAATACTGTCCTTAATTAATATTGCCACAACTCCTCCTTTTTCTCCCTCTTCTATCTTTCCCTAAAAGCTTATATCCAGGGATATTTAATACACACAGACCTTGAGCCAGGTTCCTCCACTGCACCTGGAACTCCCCAATCTTATTTAACATGCCTAATGCACGTACGTTGCATAGAAACTGATTTAGATGCTAAGTTTTTTATTCATTCACGGGATGAGGGCATCACTGACTGGGCCAGCATTTATTACCCATCCCTAATTGCCCCAGAGGGCAGTTCAGGGTCAACCACATTGCTGTGGGTCTGGAGTCATGTGTAGGCCAGACCAGGTAAAGATGGCAGTTTCATTCCCGGAAGGCCATTAATGAACCAGATGGGTTTTTTCTGACAATCGGCAATAGGTTCATGGTCATCATCAGATTCTTAATTTCAGATACTTTATTGAATTCAAATTCCACCATCTGCCGTGGTGGGACTCGAACCTGGATCCCCAGAACGTTACCTGGGTCTCTGGATTAACAGTTCAGCAATAATGCCACTAGACCATCGCCTCCCCCCATCGCTATTACTTACCATTTTACCCTGACCCTTACTATTTGCTACCCTAAGTGTGGCTTATTTCTCTCAGTATTCAGAGTACCTGGCTATTCCTTCTCAATATTTTCTCCTGGTTCCTACATACCTTCTGAGTTAGTTACAAGCCCCCTCAACAGCACCAGGAAAACTCACCACAAGGAAGTCAGTCCTAGCTCTGTTCGGGTACAAACTATCCATCTTGCACATGCGCCATCTTTTGGCAAAGCTGCTTCCAAAACTCTAAACTCCATTCTCCTGCGCCATCTTTCCATCCATACATTCATCTGTCTTACTTTCCTATTTCTGTACCCACTTGCACTTGGCACTGTGAAAATCTTGAGAGAACCATATCTGATATCCTGCTTGCTACTTTAATGCTGAGCTCTCTAAGTTCTAACTGCAAGATCATGTTCCTCTTTCTGCCTGTTTCTTGATACTGGTATGGACCACAACTGCTAGCTGTTTACACACAGCTCCCTCAAGGTTGCTGTAAATCATGAGGTGAGTAGCTTGTTGTAGATTGCGGGGTAATTCTGTAGAACAAGAGAAAATTGTCAAGCTTAAATTGAAGAGAAACATGGAAATTACTGCCGAGCTTTCCACCCAGCAGATGCTCCTGAGAAGACCTCTTTGCAATCTCTAAAAACTTTCTTCTGGCTTGCCATTCCAGATGGTGGTTTTTAATGGTAGCGGACACTAAATTCGCTCAGAGAATGAAGAAACACTGTTGCGTTTCCAAAGAAGACTCGCCACATTTTGTAATGTCTTAACATTAAAATTTTGGGGGAGAGAAACTAATGATGAGAATCACAAAACCAATGTGTGTTACATTCCAATCAAGCCATTTTGGACTTCTTTCAGATTTGAGCATCACCATGGGTTCTCCTAGCTCCTGTATGCTCCCTACAAGAGCTCGTTCTCTCACCACCCCATGTTCCACCACGTTGGGCCCTCCAACACCAACTCCAGTCAGACCTGCCTCCTCTCCAGTCCTGTCAACTGTCAGCAAGGCTAAACCTGGGTAAGAGAAAAATAAATCATCGCCGCTAATCTCTCTGCATTGTCCTATTAATATGACGCTCATTGTAATAAGAAAGGCTACATGGTTTGTGTGTAAAAAGACAACTGTAAAAATGCAGAGAAAGCCAAAGAAATCAAAAACAGTTCTGTTGCAAAGCCATTACTTGCTTTTTATTCATTATGTAAATGACGAGAAGCTCCCATTATGGGTGGTGTCTCGGATTTTTGAAAATGGGGACAGCTAAGGCTAGGAGAAGATTCAAGCTGAGATTTTGAAATTATGGAAGGTTTTTGACAAGGTGAATAAGAAACACTGTCTGCTTTGTTCAGAGTTTCAGCGATGAAGGGTCATTGATGTACATTACAAAGAACAGTGAGGGGTTGGGAGAAATTGCTTTATGTTGAGAATTATTAAAGAATAGTATTCTTTGCCACAGGGAATTGTCTGCAGACCAAGACCTTATCTTTTAATGGGAAAACAGATAAACATTTGAAACTGAATATTGTAGAGGGCCTCAAATGGAAGACTCTATCAAGATATGATTAGATTAATGGATGCCTTCTGTGTTACAATCTTCTATAGTTAAATGATATTAATGTCTGACAATGGATAAGGGACTCCATAAGTTCTGCACCAGGCATAAACAAAACTCAATATCATCCGTATTTAATTTTATAAAGTTAAACAAAACGTCAGTAATATTTACGAAATTGCAATGACTTGGCATGTGGTAGCATGGCTATTAATATGTCCAATGTAGTTATGTTCTGTTTTGACATCTGTGCTTATTAGGGCTATATGAAAGGTCACCATGATCATCATCTTCAACCCAGCAGCTTCCTCAAAACAGCTGAAAACTACAGTGGAACTTCTAGCTGCCATAATGCAGGGAGCTCCCTGTATGGTGAGGGAAACTACTGGACAAACCAAGTTTGACAAGAGCAAAGATCTGTTTGATTTTGGGCTTTCTTTGCATTGAATTCCCTTTTCAAATCTCACATCAGCTCCAGAACAACCCAATAGAAAATTTTTTTTTTTGAATAAACAATACCACAGGTAATTTTAAAACTTCGGTAAAACACAAGGTGCTAGAAATCACAGATCAGGCAGGATCCATGGAGAGGGAAACAGAATAACGAAACATCATTGAACCGAAACAGAATTGGAAAATGAGGAAATGCAATGGGTTTTTGAGCATATACAAATCATCTCTTTTGTCATTTGGTCTCTCCTGGCTTCCTTTCCATAACAGACCTTCACTTTTTTGTACTTTACTCTCTTCGCATCTAGCTGCCTCTGTACTTCATAACACAGCTATGAAGAAAACCTTGAAAGAAAAGCAGGCCTCGTGTTGTCCTTCAAATGGAACACTGACAGTGCCAAGTCATGGTTACTGTTTATCTCTGTAGGACTATTCATTAGGGTGGATACAGAGACAAGATAGACTTCAGTAAATCATTGGATTAAGTATACAGAAAATACAACCATACTGCAGAAATGGAGTGTCAAAAAAATGTCATCTCTGCTTTTCAAAAGATCTACTGCCTGAATGAGGAATGATTAACTGTCTATGAATTGCCTGTCCAGTGCAATGTTGCTGGCTAACTCTAATCCTTAGCTGCCAGGTTACACTGACCAATGTGTATTGCAATAAGTTTTAAATAACTTTGCGCTATCCTATTATAGCATCCTTCACATATAGTGGAAAAATCCTGCAAACCCATCCTCCTCTTTGTGCAATGGGGAGTGTATCATAATAGGATAATAATGACCAGGCCATTAAAATCTTGTGGTTTGATGACCTTGATGACATTAGCTGCAAAATTTTAACAATTAATATTTCACCAAATTTCATTCACAGAAGTGAAATCTTAATTGTTATCCATTACAGATGACTTTACTGAAGTGAATTCTTTAAGGTCCTACTCAATATGGCTTTATGATAATTAACTGAAGGTGTATCTTACACCACTAATATGCTTTGAGGCTGATGTGCTGCATAGAGTCTAAATAATAGGATTTTTATTCAGAGACGATCACTATTCGCTTCCTGTTGTCTCAGTTCTAAGTTTGTTATGTAATGGTGTTTATTTGAACCTCTTATAGCACCAGAGGGAGTAATAGTTGGCATGGACGTGTGAAAGGAGGACTGAAAGGATTTCAGGATTTCATGGTATCTGACAGCAACATGAGCTTCATCGAGTTTGTTGAACTTTTCAAATCATTCAGGTAAATGTGATCACTCTATACTGCTGAGACTGAAATATTTTCACCTTTCTTATTTTGCTTATAAGGTGATAAATGTGATTAAACCAACACTGAAACTAGGTTTAAAACCCAACTGTTTGAAAAAGATTCTTCTCTGAGTGGATTGTTAATTTGTGCTCAGTATATGCAGGCCAGGGACACTCACTGTTTCTGTTTGTGGAATTAGCATACGAAGTCGGAAGGACTTGAAGGATCTCTTTGACATTCACTCTGTATCATGTAACCGTTCTGGCTTGGAATCCACTCCAGTATACACAAACCTAACGATAGATGACAAGATCAGTGGGCTGCAGCCTGACCTAGGTCAGTGATCATGAGCAATGTTATTTTGATAAGTTAATTAATGCATTTACGCAGCATGTTGGAATTTGGAATGTTCAAGGGCCACAGGCTTTATGGATGAAGTGTTCAGAATCTTTGTTTATAAAGACAGTAAATAATGAGTTAAATTCCACATCAGTGTATCATCTGCATCTAAGACTGTTGTAACAAAGAATGTTGTAGGTCTTCCAGCTCTTATCCTTGTATAAGGTTTGCTAAATACTTCATCTCCAAGGAGATTTATTGTACATTAGAACCTATTGTCATTGGGAACCATAAAAACAAGTTTCACTGTTTAGCAGACACTGTCTTTGGGAAAATGATGTGACTATTCCTTTCAAACTAATAGGCCAGGCTCCCTCTTGGTGCTAACCACTTGGAGGATAAGTGCAGCATGCAGTGTACTGGTGAGTCATGAGGACCTAAAGCCTGAGCTCTGGCAGGCTGATTGCACCAGGCAGACAACAGCTGACGTCAGCATCTCTGGCCACATGTGAAGGAATTCTGTTCTCCTGTTCTTTCCCCAGGGCCTGTTACCTTCCTCCTTTCCAAATATTTTACCTGTTTTTTTTAGAAAGCTGTTATTCTTCCAGCATGGTTCCTGATGGGATAGCTCAGACCCTGGCATTCCTTTTCAGAAAGGCAATTCTCTAACAAACCCCTTTCTTTTGAAGCAAGCGCACATGAATGGAGAGCTGAATGTGTGTGTGTTCCACTCTGTGGAAACAATAGAGAGGCAGCCACACGGGTAGTTGGTTTGGAAATATTGGACAGATAAAATCTATTCTAACTCCTCAGTAACAATTGAATTGAGATTCCCACTCAAACTGAATCTCTTGTCAACTCCTTGATCTTCCGACTACATTCTTTGATTTCGCCTGACATCTCAGTCCCAACCGACAACCCCCAACCCAACCTGACTATCTCTCCTCCTGACCACAATTACCCCACGAGACCCAACAAAACCTGATCTGACTACCCCCGGCACACATACCCACTCACCCATTGACCCACCTGCTGGCCTATCCATTTACTTTGTCCAACCTAGCCATTTACTTCATCCAGCCTACTGTTCCAAATGATGCAGTAACTTAAGTGGTTACTGCACGCAAGTACTTAATCCACTTACACTGAGTTAGTTCCTCTGGTGTTTAACAGAAATTACATCAATTTATTTTAAAAATAAAAGTCCTTAGAGCCGAAAGAACAATATGGTATGAGTAGATCACTGTTTGTGTAATAACATCCCTGCCAATAATTATTCTGTAGCACTTATTTTTAAACAAATTTCTATGGAGACCTATATCCTTCTCAGTTATTTGGAACAGTAATTACAAAGAGAATATTAATCAGGTTAATTGGGGTGAATTTATTTATACCTTGAGGAAGGAGGTTGGAGAAATTAACAAGCATTGATTCTACTTAGTATTTGAATTCTTAACTAAAAAGTAGTTACTCTGTATTTTTGGTGATCAACATTGAAAGATAATTGATGAAAAAAAATTCATTTTCTGTTCTTGCTTGTCTAGACCTTTTGACAAGAAACGTATCTGATCTTGGTCTGTTTATAAAAAGCCGACAGCAAATATCAGATAATCAGAGACAGATTTCTGATTACATTGCTGCGACCAGCATAGTGACGAATCGAGTGGAAATTGCATCCCTGGGAGAGAGTGGAATGGGGATCCTGCAACTAAATGACTTCCTGGTGAACTGTCAAGGGGAGAACCACACCTATGATGAAATCCTCAGCATTATCCAGGTTGGAGAGATTTATTGTTCTGGACAAACCAAATGGTGTGTTAGCCTTTGCTACATAACAATTGGCGTTATAAGAGAAAAGAAATCTCACTGCCACTTTCTAGAACTAGGTGAGACTGTGTGTCTGGAGTGCTGTATCCAGCTTTGGTCATCTTACCTTTGTATGAAATCACTGCTGTGCAAAAGAAGGCTATTTGAGTCTTCAATCTGCATTGGTTTTTTGAATGCGTATCAAATTATCTGCCAATGCCTTATTGAATGCCTCAATTGCCTCAAAGACTGCAGTGGGTCAAGAAGGCAGCTCACCACCACCTTCTCAAGGGCAACTAGGGATGGACAATAAATGCTGGCCAGCCAGCGACGCCCACATCCCACAAAAATGAATGGAAAAAACAAATTGAACCTACCCCCACCATACTTCCAGGCTGTGCATTCCAGATCCAAACTATTTGCTGTGTGAATATGTTTCTTCAAACGAGAAGGATGTACCTTCAGGAGAAGCAATGAAGATTCAGAAAATTGATCCCTGAAATGGTGTAGGACAGTGTCCTGTGAAGAGAGATTGAGTGAACCGGGCCTACATTCCTGGAATCTTGATAAATGAAAGATGATCTCATTGAATTGTGTTAAATTCCTAAGGATCGTAATAGGTTGATGGGAGGATATTTTGTAAGATGAGGAGAAATGCCTTTGTTCATAGAGTTGTGAACATTTGGAATTCTCTAACCCAGAGAGCTGTGGTTGTTCAATTATTAAGTATGTTCAACCTGTAATATCCTCTCCAAGTCACACGCCATCCTGATGTGCAGTGATATCAATCTTCCTTCACTATCTCGGGTCAAAATCCTAGAACTTCTTTCCTGTACTTTTCCCATGGACTGCGGCTATGAGATGTGTAGTTTCTCCAGGGTGACAAGCAGCTGTATAGAACGTTAGTTAGGCCACATTTGGAATATTGTGTGCAGTTCTGGTCGCCACACCACCAGAAGGATGTGAAGGCTTTGGAGAGGCTACAGAAATGGTTTAACCGGGATGTTGCTTATTGGAGGGTAATTAGCTGGAGGAGAGATTGGACAAACTTGGTTTGTTTTCACTTGAATGTCAAAGGATGAGGTGTGACGTGACAGAACTTTACAAAATTATGAGAGGCATGGATAGAATAGGTAGTCGGAATCTTTTTATCAGTTTGTGAGAGGCAAGTTTTTGTACATATAGGGTGGTAAGTGACTGGAATACACTGCCAGTGGAGGAGGTGGAGGCAGATACAATAGCAGTGTTTAAGAGGCACCTTGACAGATACACAAATAGGTAGGCAACAGAAGGATATGGACCACGTGGGGCAAAAGCTTTTTTAGTTTAGAAAGGCGTTGTGTGTCAGGTTCAGTCTTGGTGGGATGCAGTGCCTGTTTGGTGCTGTACCGATCTTAGTTGTTTGTTCTCTACAACAGATGTTAAACAAATGCAGGCCTAGCCAGTGATGCCCATGTCCCATGAATGAATTAAAATAAGAGGTTGATAGATTTTGAGGTACCAGGGAAATTATGGGATCTTTGGAAACTGGGGAGTTGGAGATGGGGATAGAAGATCTGCAAAGTTTGGAAGGTTGAATGCCCTACTCCCACTCCAGTTTGTTATTTTCTTAAAGATACCTAAGGAAAGTGAGTCAAACAGAAGTGCTCATCTGTATTGGATATTTGCCACTTTTTTGCTTAGTGTTAGACTGATCGTACTGACAAGTGTAAGGTGTGTATCCAGACTCCCGTGAATGTAAATGCAATGATTGCTCCATTAATGACTGTTATCCTCCCGTAAATTTTGAAGTCACCTTGTGTCCGTCTCCTGTTGGGTGACTTGTCTCTCTTACTCCATAAGAGGTCAGACGCTTGCAGGATTGCTGAATGGAAATCTTCTTTCGCTTTCTCCTATTGGCAGCATCCAATGCTTGAAATCTAATGCAACTATTCAGAATTACCCTCACCATGTTGTCCAGGCGATGACAGAAGAACAACATTAAATGCGATCCATTTTCTATCCGGCCAATCGTTACGTCGATTTCATTGAATTTGGTTGAGAAGCATGTATTTGTTTTGCAGGTATTGCTCTTTAAGAGTTAGGTGAAAATTGCCCACTGAGGGAGCCATGGTGGGGACCAAGGACATTTGAGCAGATACTTCCACCTTGCTTACAAAATCTCACAAGAAAAGGAATGTTGTGTTTAAACTTGGGTCATTCAAACAATAACCTGTGCCACATTTGGAAACCCCTGAATTATAACAGACAGCCCTTTGAAATTCAAACATCTTGTTTTTACATATTTGTCTTATTCTTATTTGTCCTGTTGGGAATATGGTGAGTGTGGAGATATTGGTGACTGTTCCTCACATTGTTATCTGCTAAATTCTAAATCAGGATACCAAGCTCTTAGTGTCATTGGAGGTGACATGTGGTAACTAACAAAAATATTTATGAGTCCCTCCACACCAGTGAATTTTGCAGACTACTATCAAGTAAATAGTGTTTCATATTTCATTGAAAAAAATAATATATTCATTCTCTTCCAGAAATTTGAGCCATCCATTAACATGCGCCAACAGGGGTTGATGTCATTTGAGGGCTTTGCAAGGTAATGCATGTCTCTTTAAATTGCTGTTTGAGAAAAGGCCATCAAACCCATATATAGATGAACCAGTCCTTTCAGTGCACTAACAAGAGCTTCGTTCATATTTACCAATTATCTTCTTACTCTACTTGCATTTTTTTCATCTTTAAGGCTCCACTTCTGTCTGTACATGGACAAAATGTTGAGCCATAGCCAACATGACCACATGCAGTCATCAAGTACTTTCCTTTTCAGATTGTTGGGGGGTCACATTGTGGGGCAGACAGTGTTTTGGCTTCTTTTGATGTCAACTAATAATTCGTATTTTGGATTGGTCCAATGTTCATCACTGTTTCTTTAGGACTGAGAATGACGCATGAAGTAGAATAGAGCTTGGTGGAATGTAATGCACCAAGAGAAGCAAAGGAAATAGTGGTTCTTGTAGTTTCTAACATTAGTAACAGCTGAAAGCAACTTTATTGTATTTATAATAATTACAGAGTGTCACTTGTATATACCACATTTTATACATCTTTTACAAATACTATTTTCAGGTTTCTAATGGACAAAGAAAATGCTGCTTCAAAGAACGACGAATCCCAAGTTAATGTTGAGGATTTACAGTATCCACTTTCATATTATTACATTGAATCCTCACATAACACTTACCTCACAGGCCATCAACTTAAAGGAGAGTCCTCAGTAGAACTTTACAGCCAGGTACCAGATTCTTAACTCCAGTCTTTCCTTCTCTTGTGTGTCTACAGCTGTTCCCACCTGATTTTTGCTCTGTCCCTTGGCCTTTGTCTGTTTCTGTCTGCCTGCCTGAGAGTCCATTTCCTGTTCTCTTTGTCCCTTGTCCTTTCTCTACCTTAAATCTTCCTTCTTTCCTTCTATCTCTTTAACTTGCTCTTTCTCTCTCATTTGTGTGCTTCATTAAAGTTCCACTCCTTCTCCAGTGATTTGGTGCCAATTTGCTGTTTTCAGGTGCTGCTGCAGGGATGCCGGAGTGTGGAGCTGGACTGTTGGGATGGAGATGATGGTATGCCAATCATTTATCATGGCCACACTCTCACCACAAAGATCCCATTTAAGGTGTGGTTCTGTTCAGTTTCTTTGGTCTTGTGTGATTAAAAATGAACAGATATCAATAAATGCCAGTTTAATGGCCATTCAAACTTTATATTTTCCCTCATAGGATGTCATTGAATCAATCAATCGTAGTGCGTTTGTAAACTCTGAGATGCCAGTTATTTTATCAATAGAGAATCACTGCTCATTGCCTCAGCAGCGCAAGATGGCCGAAATTGTTAAGGTAAGAATTACTATTATTTGTTCCCTGTACTGGGGCTGATGACTGCTGGGCGAGCTCTAACATCCATTCACAAGATCTGTCTATTTCTTTAGAATGTCTTTGGAGACAAACTGGTGACGAAATTTTTGTTTGAGAGTGACTTTGCGGATAATCCAATGCTCCCATCAGTTTGGCAGCTCCGAGGCAAAATCCTTCTCAAAAACAAGAAACTGAAGGCCCATCAGACTCCAGTAGATATACTTAAACAAAAGGTAAGCTGTGTTTAGACTTTTCTGGTGGATCATAATCATAACTTATAAGACTTGCTAGTCTGGAAATATAATTGTGTTGGTGTATTTTATACTTCTCAATGTCAGATAACTTTATGGAAGACCAGATGAAGCCATGAAAGTGCTGATAATCACCCCATAAAATGACCCGACAAGGAATTGACTGGGTACAGATTCGCCTTGAGCTGTAGTGTTAAGCAGGCTAGACTCCACTGCGGTAGTTAACATATGCCCTGTGCCAGACCACACAGAATAATCTTTTTTAACCCCGGTGGGTGGCTCCTGTACTTGGATCTAATGAATCCCTTGGGCACAGCTAAACAGGGGACATTCAGACTCGCGTGATTGCACAGTGGTGAGGCGAACATTTTTGATCCATTCACTAAAATGGACCAAAGGTCAAGCCCACAAAGCTTCCTCCATACTCTGTATCCAGGCATTCCAATGCAGTCTGGCTTAGAAATGGGAAAGTCTGCCTCACTATTTCTGTATTGAAAATCCCAGGTCGTACAGCTGATGTCTTGAGCTGACATTTATTGTTATGGAAGTCATTGTGTAGGGGGTAACATATTGCCAAGGATAGAAGATTGGCTGTCTAACAGGAAACAGCGAATAGGTACAAATGGATCATTTTCTGCTTGGCAAGATGTAACAACTGATTTGACACAGGGATTAGTGCTGGGGCTCCACTTACTACGATTTATATCAATGACTTGGATGAAGGCACCAAAAGTTAAATTTGTTGACGACACCAATATCAGTAGGAAAGTGATGAAGAGAACATAAAGGGATATAGAAAAAGCTGGAGAAACTCAGCAGGACTGGCAGCATGTATGGAGAGAAAACAGAGTTAATGTTTCAGGTCCGGTGACCCCCCCCCCCCCCCACCCTTTCAGGAAAGATCTGCGGATCTGATGAAGGTTCACTGGACCTGAAATATTGATTCTGTTTCTCTCTCTCTCTCCACAGATGCTGCCAGACCTGATTTTCCCCAGCTATTTCTGTTTTTGTTTAAGATTTCCAGCATCCACAGTTCGTTTTTACTTAACAAAGGGATATACAGTCATTCCTCCGTATCTGTGAGGGTCCCATTCCTGAGAACCCTACAAATGATGAAATTTGTAAGGACGGAGCACGTTAAAAGTATTGTGGATATGCAAATTTTTGTGCACAGATGTTGGCTTTTGTTGTAACTTATTTTTTTTTGTGCAGACAGGCAAATTTGTGATTTTGCAATACAGGGGATTTACTGTAACTAGGTTCAGTGAATGGTCAAAGATCTGGGAAATGAAGTACAATGCGAGATTTAAATTGTCGATTATGTCAGAAAGAACTTTTAAAACAAGCATATTGTCTCCAGGGTACGTGATTCCAGAGATGCAGATGTAGGTGTCCTAGTGCATGAATTGCAAAAAATGTGTGTGTAGATACACCAGGTAGTTAGGATAGCTATAATAGCATGCTGTCGTTTATTGCAAGGAGAATTGAAAACAAAAATAGGGAGGTTATGCTTCAGTTACATGAGGCATTGGTAAGACCACATCTGGTGTACTGAGCACAGTATTGATTTCCTTATTTAATGAAGGATGTAAGTACATTGGAAGCAATTCAGCAAAGGTTTATTTGACTAATACCTGAAAATGGGCAGATTGTCTTATGAGAAAAGATTGGACAGAGTAGGTTTGTATCTGTTGGATTTAGAAGAGGAAGAGATGACTTGACTGAAATATATAAGATTCCAAGGGATCTTGACAAGAAAAATGTGGGAAGGATGTTTCCTGTTGTGGGGGAACCCAGAACTAGGGGTCAATTTAAAAAAAAAACAAATGGTTACCCATTTAACACAAGCAATGTATCAAAATTGTCTTTGGAATTCTGTTCCTGAAAAGGCAGTGAAAACTCAGCCTTTGAATATTTTTAAGGCCGAGACAGGTAGATTCTTGATGAGTAAGTGGGTGTAAGTGGGAATGTGGAGTTCTCGGATCAGCTATGATCTAATTGAATGGTGAAACAAACTCAAGAGCCAAGTGCCTGCTCCTACGTCGTGTCCATATGATTGTTCATATCACCAATTCACTTAGAAAAATATTTTATGATCAGTCAGAATAAACGTGGTCTAATGTTTGACAAAATAATTTAGGTTTTTGAGGATGTAAGTGGATAAAGAGGGTACCAGTAATTGTCATGCACTTGAACTTCCAAAAGGCATTTGATAAGGTGCCACACTAAAGGTTAATATGTGAAATAAAGGCAGAGAATTTCATGTCATAGTTTAGTATGGATAGAATATAGTTTAACAATCAGGAAATGAGTATAATAAGTGTGTGATTTTTAAGCTGGCAAGCTGTAGCTAGTGAAGTGCAGTAAGGAGCAGAGCTGGCACCTCAACTATTTACAGTCTATATTAATGACTTACATCAAGCTTGCCAAGAGTGATATATCTACATTTACAGACAATACAAAGCTAGTTGGGAATATGAGCTGAGAGGCAGATGCAAAGAGGCCTCAAAGAGATATGGGTAAGTTAGAGTGGACAACTAGGTGGTAGCTGGAGTAAATTGTGGAGAAGTGTGAGGTTGTTCATTTTGGATCTAAGAATAAAAAGCAGACTTTTGTGAAAAGTGTGGTATTTCTAAATGTTGATTTTCAGAGAGGTTTGAATGTACTTGTATGAGGAATACAGGACATTAGCTTGCAAGTACAGCAAGCAATTAGCAAGGCCTGTGTCATTTTGGCTTTTATTACAAAGGAATTGGAGTACAAGAGAAAAAAATCTTTGCTATAATTGTACACTGTTTTGGTGAGTCCATACCTGGAACAGCTTTGGTCTTCATAATTGAGGAAGAATATATTTGGATTAGAGGCAGAAAAGGATCACTGCATTGATCATACTATGAGAGGGTTGAAGTCTGAGTAAATTCAGCCTATATTCTCTAAAGGTTAGAATCTTAAGAGATAATCTCCTTCAGAACCTTGCATGTTTTAATGAGATGACAAGGTGTAGAGCTGGATGAACACAGCAGGCCAAGCAGCATCAGAGGAGCAGGAAAGCTGAAGTTTCGGGCCTAGACCCTTCTTCAGAAAAAGGGTCTAGGCCCGAAACGTCAGCTTTCCTGCTCCT